CATTGTGGTGGTGTATAGAGCCAAAGATGTTAGAATTGTGTCGATGTCCCAATATTTCTGGACCTGACTGTAGCATCACTGAAGCAATAAGCATGAAACTGAGCAAACTCAGGGAGGCAGTGAAGGACAGGAAGGCCTGGCGTGATATGGTTCATAGGGTCACGAAGAGTCGGACACGACTTAATGACTGAACCATAAGTGCTAGAAACATCAGTAGATTCCTACCACAGTTAGAACCAAAACTTTCCAGGACTTCCATGTTATCAAGTAATAATATTCACAGTAAGACAGTTGAACCCACACATTTAGTTTCATCCCTGTTCCAATATATTACTAGTTAACAAAAAAAACTATTTATACGCTTTGAAATCAGGATTAAAACCACAATCTTCATATGAAAGCAGTAGCTTTAAAAGAGAAATACTAGGTGTTTGCTCCTTCTATAAAAAAATTAGTCATTAATTGAGGTTTTGAAAAATATTTAAGAGGACTAACATACTCATTGCTTTCAAAATATTTTGAAAGTCATATACAGTCTAGAAGTCATATACAGTCTAGAAGTCATATACAGTTTCACTGCATTTATCCTTCCCTATAAACTCAGGGTTTTATAATTTACTGAAAAACAGCTGAATGGCAATATATTCAGTTAAAATGTCTGCTATGCTCCTTGTTTGGCCCTGAATTTTCAGCAAACCCTGAAGCTTCAGAACTTTTATCTGCATTGGAGTTTTTACAAAGGCAAAACCAACAATTTAGATTCAAAAACTAAGAAATTAGCAATATGTGGATAATATACAAATAACTTGGAATACAGAACTGGAGTATCATATATAGAAAATCTATGGCTTGAGTGTTAAGAAATGTTAGAACATTTCTTATTTTTTAAAAACCCATTTAGTCCAGCAAAAAAACATTTTCTGACATATTGGACTCCTTAGCAGTTGGTTAAAAAAGGTTGGCATCTATTTTAATTATTAATTTAAGTAATGAATTTTGTGGAACATTACTACATTTGCTTTGAGCATGTCCACAGGTAGTTTCCTTATTAAAATTAATATTATGGTGGACCAAGTAAATTTGGTTCAATTAAATATATCACCTCTCAGCCTTTGAGATGACTTTGTACTGGCAGAGAGGCAAGATCAGAAATATGATTTCCATAGAGTCTAGATTTCATCCAATGTTTTGTTTAACTAATTCTGATAGTTTAAATGAAATGAAATTCAGTAGTTTTGTTTGCAATTGTTATTAAGTGTAACATCTTTATGTATATTGATTTAAAAATTAAATGTTTTTTAAAACAGTACACACACACGCATACGAATATAGGTATGTCATGTGCACGTACATGCACGTGGGGGAGAGAGAATCCCTATGTGGAATTTAAACATCTGAAGAGTCTCACTTACCCACAGAAATGGACAGTGGCCCAGGAGCAGCATTATTTACCTTCCAGTATTTCTTCCTGATCTTTATCTTCATTAGCTATCGATCTATCCCTTTCTGCTGTTGCTTTGGGATTTTCCACCACAATTTCAGGATCAGGCGGTTCCAGTTCTTTTCCTTCTGCAGCATCAGGAAGCTTCTGCTCCTGCATGGTGCTCTTGCTCTTCTCCGATGTCCCACCTGAGCTTCCTAGAAAGTCTCCTGTGGGGCTGCTAGAGTGGACAGTAGATCTTCTGGGTCCATCTGCTTCCAGGTGTCGCCTATACAGGAGCCAGTTTGCCCCAAAGCGATCCCGAACATTGTCCATGCGCTCCATCTCTGCCTGATGTTGCTGAAATATACCTGTGAGAAGACAGACCCAACCAACCCAAAGATCTGAAAACAGTTTCAATGCATATCCTATCTCAAATAATAGGTCCATAGTGATTTAAGTCTCACCTTCTGAGAGAGGTTGAGTTCTGTACTCATGTTCTGTGTCACTGGGCTCAGAAATACTGGCCCTGCGCACTTTAATTTTCCCCTGTAACAAAACCAAGTTATAAATAATGGCTAAAATTGACTCTCCCATGTTCTTTACTTAAATATTAAGTTACACTAACCTCACCATATTTGTGTCACACCTCTGGAAAGAAAGAAAGCATTTTAAAAAGTGTTTGGGATTCCAGTCTACTGTAGGGCTTTCAGCTGAAACAGTCACACATTTAAGGGATGGCTTGGGAACCTTTCCATAATCCCAACTTCTTTAAACAATTAAGGATATTCTCATAATGTTGCATCAGTTACTAGATTAATATTAGATCTTATTCAAAAAGAGTTGCTCCACCCTTCCAATCACTAAACACATAGTACTGAAGCTCCCAGTGGAGAACAAAGACCTCTTCTATCTTCCTCACCCCTACCAATCCTGCCAGTTCCAAACCCTGAGCACGTATAGTGGCAGAACCACCTTCGCTCTCTTCCGAGATGACAGTCCGACAGATGTGCTGTCTTTGGGGGATTGGCTATCACTTTGGTCTGCAGCACATGAACTTTCCAGGGCATTCCGGTTTATCAAGATTCTCTCTGAGCCTGAAGTGCAGAGTGGTTGAGCAACTGCATGATCCAGCTTTGAGTGGTGCTGAAAAAAATAGAATAAGCTATAAATGGGTAAGAAGATCCTTCCTGAGGCTTTACTTCCTTTTTTATTATTAATATTATTTTAGTGCAAATGCCACCTTAGCAATTCTGAGGAACTACTTTGTATCACCACTAAAGTGAGATTCATCACGCAAAAGGAAATGACTTTGCTTGCGTGGACAAAAGTATTATTGGTTTCTAGATATTCTACAATTCAGTAATGAAAACTCAGAACGGAACTACTTCAGATGAAAGGAGATTTTGAACCCAAATTTTCACTGTAATACAAACCTGAAAAATAAGAGTTTAGGTATGTCTTCCTACCTGTAAACTGGAGACAGACAGGGGTTCTTCATCAAGAAGGAACTGGTATTTCAAAAAAGTATGTATCAGTAAAACATCCACACACTCATTCCCTGTCAAAATGAAACCTATAAGAAAGCTGTACTCCACTTTTCTTCACTTAAAGAAAACAAAAAATAAGGAACAAAACTCTTTTGAGTCAGCAAATAAAAATCTTTTCCCACATTATTATGTGGAAACATATGGTAATCACAGAAAAAATAAAACATAGGAACAGAGCAGCTTACATTTCTTGTCCTCTACATAGTGCCATATAAATCCTACTTTTTCAGCAAGCCCACCAACTCCTAAATATGCAAAGTAGAATTTGTGCTAACTCTATATTGAGAAGACAAGTTACAGTTCTCAGTTATAGAATATACAAATTCAGCCCTAGGGTCAACTTGCTGCTTTAAGCTGGTGTGTAACACTGTTCTTCTGGGGCACTGCACTTTTATTTTATATTTCTGGCCCTCAAAGGCCAAAGGGACTACAGGTAGTCCTCATTTAACAACCAAGTTATGACGGTGTTGAATAAGAGGGACTTACAACCGGTCATCAGAGTTGTGGCCATCACAGTGTCCCTGCGGTCACGTGATTGTGATTTGGGTGCTTGGCAACCAGCTCACGATTATGACATTGCAGCATCCCACGGTCACGTGATCGCCATTTGTGACCTTCACTGCCAGACAAGCAAAATCAATAGAGAAGCCAGCAGGAGGTCGCAAACGGTGAGCACGTGATGTCCTTGCTTAACAACTCACAATGATTTGCTTAATGATGATGATCACGTGACCACGGGACACTGCAACTGCGCAGGATTTGCCTAACAGCAGCAACTGGGACTGCCAGAACTGCTATTGTAAGTTGATGCAGTCACATGATGTCACATGTTATGACTGTGTCGCTTAGCGATGGAGTTCCCAGTCCCAATTACCATTGGTAAAAGAGGACTACTTGTAGTGATATGACGATGCCAAGTGGTGCAGGCAGGGCAAACATTTTCAGCCCTTTCTTTATAATGGAAAAGCTAGGTATGTTGTCCACAGTCACAATGTTGCCATTGACTTTGGTAGCATAATCCTGGGGAGCTCTGGGAGCTATAAAAATGGGGCTGGGAGAAAACTTGGCCCGCAGGCTTCCAATTCCTGCTGCAATTCATCACAAAAACATCTAATAGCTAACAAAGAAATATCTCATTTTAGTTGCATAAGTTTGTTTTCCCCCATTAACCTAGTCCTTTTTTTTTTTTTTTTTTTTGTGCCTTTAAGTCAGTTTTGACTCCTGGCAACTGCCTGGACAAGTCTCTGCAGTTTTCTGGGCAAGATTCCAGAAGTGGTTTGCCCTTGCCTCCTTCCTAGGGCTGAGAGAGACAGACTAGTCCAAGGTCACCAGTTGGCTTCATGCCTAAGGTGGGACTAGAATTCACAGTCTCCCAGTTTCTAGCCTGATGCCTTGACCACTATACCAAACTGGCTCTCATCCTGGTCCTAGCCCTACTTAATACTTACACATTTTGCAGTCCTGTGTTGACTAATCACTTTAGTTCAATCTCACTTTTAATTATTCATAAAAAGGTGATGACATTCCTGAATAAATACAAGTTACATGTCTGGTTCGTACAAATAATAATTTCACCTTATGCACTTATTAGTTGCTTGACCCAGCCATACAGCTATGCTGCTCCACTATAATAGAAATATGTAAGTCAGCTGCTATCTAAACACAGGACTTGGTCTTATTGGCAACTATTTTAAACAGATGAAGCTACTGTTTCTTCATACTGCAATTATGGGAACTGACAACTCAGGCTGGATACTCACACTGCAGGAAATAACCCTAGGAGATAAATGCACTAGAGTAGCAAGCCGGTGATTCGGATGGAACCATAAAGGATTTCCTCCCAGATGCAGCTGAGAGAGAAAAAAAGAGCACTTATATTCATTCCCCCAAACTCACCCCTCTCACTCCGTTTTCCTGAGATTTAAAAAATACCGTACTGCTGTGATCCTTTATAAAACTGCTGTGTATCTTCCCCCATATTGCTCAAGGTAGCATTTATAAATCTCTTCCCTACCCACACACGGGTTACTCTGGGAGATAGTTTCATGGCAAAGTGGAAATCTGAAACAGCATTCTGGGCCCAGCTTTCTCACTACTACAGTACATTTGCTTGTTTATCCAAGACTGAACTCATACAATAGTGAGAGACTCCTACCAACTAGTGCTTTGCAATTACTGCTGACAAGTCATTCTCCAGATTCTGTAGTGTTCAATTTTACACAGTGCTTACTGTGGGCCACTGTTTCCCTTAATACTCTAGCATAACAATAAATACTCACTCTTTTCATGTTGTGCAACCAAGCCAACGGTGCTAGGGCAGAGTGTTCCAGCAACAAGTTATAGGCAATATCTAGGTGCTGAAGATTTGACAGTTGTTCCACACCTGTGAAGATGCAAGCAGAATAAGTACAAACAGAGAGAAGCAACTTTTTGCAAACTATGCTTCCTGTCTCCAATCTACTCCAATCTTTTGTGCAAGCCTTTGGCCCTTCCACTATGGTCTTACCTCTAATGTTGTCTAGGTGGTTGTACCGGAGAATTAGGGTCACCAGTTTAGCCCAGCTATGTAGTCCAAGTTCAGGCACCTTAGACACGAAATTATAGGCCACATTTAAGTATTCCAGCTCCGTCAGCACCTGCACAGAGAAGAGGGGAAATCTCAGCATTCATACTCTTTCCCATTCTCTTTCTCACACTGAAAGTAAATTCTCCTTGAATCAAGCTCAGTTCTTGGCAACTTCATAGCCACATGTCATTCTCTCAGCAACAACAGTCATTTGCCATTGCCTTCTTGTGGAATTTTCTTCTACTTTTTACTTCCCAGCTTAGTCCTATTGGTATTTCCCATCCAAATATAAACCCAGTTCCAACTTTGCATAGCTTTTTGTGATCAGTCAAAGGTAGCTACATGCTGCCACCTACCTGGGGCCTCAGGCTAAAAACACATAAAAAGTATCCCCCATCAGCTAGTCATATCTGATCAAAACTGTTCATGAAAGCATAAAAGATTAAAATCTTTAGCAGAGCACTTTTTTTTATCTTAAAACATTTAGATACTCTGCCAATGGTGCATATGACCTAAACTCTGTTCTTAGCCAACTAGCGCATGACAGCCACATGAGGTCCTTGGAAATAAGAAGGGCAATAACTACATAGCAAGAAGATACCAGTAGCCAAAGAGGACTGGCAGTTCTCCCATCTAGGAAGCATTTAGTGCAATTGCTAATTTGTTTTACTATAATCTCTGATTTCTTGATGAAGATACAGATTTTAAACATTGAGTGGGGGCAGACCCACTCAAACTTAAATACATTTGCTGTAACCCTTACAAAAAGAGATTTTTTTTTTTCTTTGCATGAACTGCCCTCATCCCCTAAGATTATCTAGATCATCTTCCCCAATCTGGGCTTTCTTCTGAATGTATTGGACCTCCTTTCTCATTAATGCCCGCCGTATGTTACAGCTCACGTGGGGTCTTTCACGTACAGGTCTTTCATATACTTCACCAAAGACTTCAGAGTGTTAAATCAGCTGGGAATGCAGACCAAAAGTAGCTTTCACCCAGAAACGGTATGTAAAAGGTGAGGCTCAGATTGAGCTAGGGAGCAGGAGGCAATTGGACGACTGCTTTAATCCCCTCTGGTCTGTACAGAATTCCAGTTCTAGAGTAACTTGCTATTCTCTTGTAGAGAATATCCTTACAATTTACTCAGTGACCTTTGTTAAGGAGATACTGTTGGACAGTACACAGAAAACTATGTTCAGGAAGCCTGCCCTACCGAATTTTACTACCTTACCCGATTACTTGTTTTTATTTAATATAAGAAGAGTATTAGATAAAGATGTAGAATGATGTGCCATTAGTGCACTGATAATATCCAACTGTTTTTCATTCTCAAGAAATCCAAGAATGACAATCCACTTATTTTTTTAGGGGCACCTGACTTGCTAATCACTGCTGGAACACTCTGTTGGTCCAGATACAGCTACAGCCTTATTGATCAAGGCTTATGGAATATTCCTGTCTCCAAATACTCAGAGCAACATATCTAGTTCTGTCTCCTGGGTTCTATAACCACTTTTCCAAATTCAGCTACCAGCATTCCTGTTTGTCCAGTATTTCTATAGTTCTATATTCAACTGTGATTTAAATGCTTTGTATAGTACTACACTGGAATGGTAGGCTTGATAGGTTTTTGATCTTCCCTAAAATATTTATTTATTGTACTTTATTGCTTCTCCATTTTCTTGCTATAAATAATTAAAAACATTACTTAATGTATTACTTGAAGTTTTAAGTAACTTTGTAATCCACGCAGAGAACTTCACTAATGGGGCAGATTAGAAGCAAAATAAATAAATAAGAAATAAAATATTGGAAGTGACAGCATCAATGCAACTGCCCACCCCCACTAGAAAGGTGAAAAGAAGATACTGCAAAAATCTATGAACAGCTATACTCACTGCTTATTAGCTTTCAGGTTTGATTCAAGATAATAATTTTAACCCATACAGTCCTAAGAATGACCTAGTACAAGAGAATTCCTAAGGCATATGATTATCCATCCATAAATCACAAAGGGTACTAATAATATTATGGAGTAGCACAGCAAGAAAGCCAACTGTTCCTTAAAATTTGTCTGTAGCATAAAATTAAATTTGAATTTACTATAAGCCCCTATTCTTATGGGTAGGATACATATTTAATCACTAGGTGATGTTAACATTATGGGAAAATTAAGAGACTATCGTGACATAAAGTTTATGAATATGTAGATTTCAAGATTTTTATTCTATATATTTTTAGATGTTGTAAACTTCGAATTAAAACAACTAAAATGCCTTTCAATTTAAGCAAATGAAGAATAACCACATGCATTATTATCAAACTGGAGTTTTGTGCTGGGATTTTTATTAGATCATATACCTATAATTAAGTGAAAAAGTAATAGACATTTAAAATAGCCTCCTGCCAAACAAAAATTAAATAAACATTTTTAACCTTAGAAAACAGAAGGCAAGATAGAAGCAAATCAAAAATGGTAGTGTTGTGACAGTGTGTTTTCAGACTGCCAGAATAACTCTACCTTTGGTGTATATTTTATCTATTCAGAACTGTCTCTTAATTCCAGGAAGGAATATATTATTGAATTTGATAAAATAAGTTGAAAAGATATAAGGAACTTTAAAGAGAGTTTATAGAGCAGAAACACAGGAAATGGAGTACTAAGTGGCAATAGAATGTCTCTGAACACTTCAAGGAAATTTGGTGTTTCCTTTGATTTGCCTGGGATGCCAGCTGCAGATTGTGCTTTAGCAGAGTGTTATCATTAGAATCAGTGTAAAAAAGGGCTGCTTGTTAACTGGCATAATTGACTTCAGAAAGGTAGCACTGAGCTCACTGCCAGATACTTACAGTCAGGTAGTGCTGGCAGTCCTGGATGAGATTATGACTAAGATCCAAAGCCTTCAGGACATTCAATAATTGCTTAATAGAGAAAAGAAAGAATAAGAGCTTAATGATGACAAATGGATCAAACCCAAGGAACAACTAGTCCAGCGATCAGGTGGCAAGTTATAGTACAATCATTCAGAAATCCTTCCTACCCCACTTTCTGAGAAAGATAGTAACTAGGAAAAAGACTATCGACAAGACTATTATTAGACTGTGTGCTTATTTCTAGCAATCTTCCTGTTACAGTATTCCATTTAAAAAAACTAAGTTTTCACCACTTGCCATACCTTACTTTCACAACGTACCAGTGAATCATCCAAGGTTCCAATAGAATTATAGCTGAAGTTGGCTGTCTGTAACTCCAACCAAGGAAGTGCAGAACTGAGATCTCCTCCACATGCAGAAAGGATCTCCTGTAAATAAAGAAGATGAATAACAGGGTGCTAAAATTAAGGTGGCCACATGTGCCTCTCAGCAACTTGCATTTAAGTTTTTGCTTCAAGATAGAAAGACATTTCACACTAGGAAGCACTTTAAATGTCCATTCCCTTGGGAAAAAAACATGGTGGTGCTCGAAAGTACCATGCATAACTATGGACTCCTTATTGCCCAATGGCTTAGACACTCATAGACAGGACAGACCGTGCGTAATAAGGTGTCTGTTTAAAACAGGGATGGGCAACTACAATACCATTTTTGCAGTCCCAACAACCGCACTGCTGAATTTTGATGACAAACTGGCAAGAAATCACACTGCAATTTTCCACGAGATTTTGATAGAAAAAAGGCACTTTAACTCTTCTTTAACATATCATAATTCATACATTCATAGCAAAATCATCATGTTATATAATCTAGCTCTCAACAACTGCCACAATTTTGTTTTTACAAAAAGTGTTCGTCTTGTCAAACAGCAACCTATCCTCCACAGCATGTAACTGCATTTACTATTAAACTATACATGACATTCATTACAATTCATTAACTTTCCCAAAAGGTATTTAAGAACAAGAATAGGGCCAGATCAAATACAGGAACATACAATTTGTAGAGGAAGTTCACTGAGAGAGAAGGAAATGAGAGAGATTGAATGCCATTTTTTTCCTTACCAAAAACTGTTCCTTGTGGGGCAAGAAGCTGCCAGGAGGAAGCAATTTTATTAAGAAAAAAAATTCCCTCCCTTTTCCTCTATGTGAACTTCAGCTTAAAACCATGGTGTTCTATAACACTCATCAGGAAAATATTAATGCAGGTGCCTCATGATAGTCTCTCCAAGATGCATAACTTTTGCCAACAATTCTTTTCCTCCCAAGGTAGAAAAAAAGTCCAATATGGAATATCCCCACTCACTTCCAGGGAGTTCACACATCTGGAACAAGTCAAAGCCTCCAACTGGGAATAAACAAACCTCAGGCCCCGCAGACAGTGCAGAGGAACACACCTCAGCTAAAGTAAGGAAACAAAGAAGCATGCATATAAAAGAATATCCATTGCAGGTTCAATAACCCCCTCTCTAGACATGAGAATACATATTCTAGACTGCAGTAAAGAAACTGTTTCTATCCAGATGTTGCCAGCATCTGGACAACTGCCAGCATCTCTCATCCACGCCCCTGCTAGCTGTCACTTCTAAAAGCTGTATTTCAACAAGTTCTGTAGAGTCCAGCTCTGGTATAGTAGGATCCTGTTTATTTCATATGTATTCTTTCTTAACTCAAACAGTACCACCTTGCAAAAATACAGTTGCATCTTCGTTATGCAATGTTGTGATCTCTTTGAGCCCTTTCTTCCACACTGTTACATAATTGTTATATTAAATTTAGAATGATTCATTTTAGATTGTGCAGCAAACTAAAATTAGTTTCAAATACTATGAAAAAATCTTAGCTATGAAATCCCCACTATCCAGCTTTCTATATATGCTTTTGAGAAGCACTACTTTACCCCACAGAGCACTTACTCTATACTTAAAAGGACTCCACAGCAGTATTTGAAACTTACCTCTAAACGTCGCAATGATTTAAAGGGGGAAATCTTCACAGGAGCTGATGGAGAACAATCAGGAATATATATAAGCTAAAAGAAAGACAGAGTAACACCAACCATTAGCAGAGGTATTCAATACTACAAGCCCATGTATCCCCAAATATGCAGTTCTGCCTCCCACAAAGTTCTATGAAACCAAGCTGCAGCCATTTCAAAATGTTCATCCTTACTCTGAAAAAACAGCAAATGAAAGAATGAATAACCATCAGAAGTAAACACATACTCTGTGTAGGCATAATGTTGCACCCCAAGTATGCAGTTCCAGAGTTCCAGTGTTCTAATCCAGCCATAACTTGCATGCTGAACAATAGATGCACAGAGTCCTAAGGCATACACTTCCACAGAGTCCTAAGGCATACACTTTTGCATGAATATGCTATCTGAGCATCTCAGAGAAGCAACAACAGGGTACCCTAAACACCCTGGTAATTCAGCCTGTGGGTTCATTTTCCCTACTTTATTTTCTGGTTTTCCACATTAAAACAACTTATTCAGGAAGACAAACGGCAAAAATGAATAGAAATGGGATGGATATAGATTTCATTCAGGATTTATTAATTACTCTTAGATTTCCAACAAACAAAATAATGCATTTAAAGCAGTCTTTTATATCATATGAAACTACTTATCATGCCATTCCTTAACACTTTTTTCATGAACTCCTAACTCACAATGCATCAATAATTTTCACAATTTCTCCTACAGAGGTCAAAGAATATACCTAAATTCTACATTCTGTTAAGTCTAAAACCAAGGTAAGTCTAACACCAACTACAGACAGCAGGCATACGATACAACCTGGAAGGCCCCAAACTCAATCTACAGCCAAAACAATAGCTATGATAGAGCAAGTTCTGTGAAGAACAAAGTGGAACAAAGATGATTATTTAAACTGATAGGAGACTGCAACTGGAATCTTATGATAAAGTCATCATAAAAATATATAGGCTGACTATATGCTATTATCTAGTTAAAATATTTCAGAAGAAAAGAAGCTTTGAAGGGGGGCAAAGGTATGCAACAGAAGCTCTTACCAGCACATCAAGTGGTGTATAGTGATAAATTGACATGAGGACTTTAGATAATCATCGAAGGATCTGTTCCATGACAGGAGGTTGAAATACCATCATGTTCCCTTCTGCTTTGTTAAAGAGGTTTCAAATTTTTAAAAAAGTGAACTCTCTCTAACAATTCAAGCACACCTTTACCCAGACAGCAATTTACCTGGTCAGAGTGGAGTGTCCACCATGCAAGCTTTGTATGTTCTCATAGACCACCTGCTGTAACAAATAGGTTTCAAGAAGACTATCTCATTTCTAATTTAAAGGTTTAACTTGAATTCAGATTCTTTAAATAACAACACAAACACCACTTTTAAATTAATTTCTTATACTAAATTAAAGAGTTCCACAGCATAACCATCTCAAAATAGGAAGCATATTTCAATCCCTTCCTGTACATAATCCCTGCTCTTGCTAAATGTTTCATGACCATCAAAGCCTGAACTTACTGAAAAGATTACAAGTCTTTTGCCCAATAAAGCTCATTTCATAGAAATAAGATTCTCTTTGACAGGAAAAAAACCTTACAGTTATTAGCTCAAGTTAGTGACACAGACTTAACCTCTTCACATCCCTAACCATTCTTTCCCACCCAATATGTTGCTACTTTGCCTAACAAGTTAATTGATATGCATACTTATAAATTATAAGCATAGTTAGCAATTATAGAGGAGAAAAAGTATAATGTACAAACCACCTAAATTTCAAAAGGATAAAGTATGGTACCTGCCCAATTTTGATTGGGCTGCTTCAGACCTACTGCCTCTAATGAAGCCTTATATGACATATATTCCCAATGAAGTTTCCAACCTTGACTCTCTTCAACACTCTAGTAGATTCTCCCCCGTCCTCCTCAGTTTGTTACTTGAGAATTTCTGAATACCATGGATGGGATGATTCTATACACTTCCTTATGCAGAATCTCTAGCCTTGTAATACCCAAGACCAGGAGATACAACTAACATAGCAAAGAAAATTTAGACTCCAGAGAATAATAGATAGTCTCTGTTTTGATTCAGATCTCAAAAATAAAATGTATCACTTTTTGTGATTATTAAAAAAAACCTCTTTCATACAAGTTATTCCTGATAAAGTTTAAAAATAAAAGGAGCCACATACAAGTCCAGTATTTAATGAATAGGAACTTCCCCCCCAAAGGACTTTTCTTTTGTCATTTCCCCCTGCTGAAAACAGTGACAGAAGGAAAAAAGACACAAAACTTCCTAGATCATACTATTAAAATATATCTGCAAGTTCAGTAAGTGTAAACACTGTTCAGTTTAAATCTTTTATGCAGACAGCTGAGATCTGCAGAACAGAGTTGTAATACTGTACTACTGTTCAAGACCTCCACCTTCAATCAGATAACTCATATTCACTTTGCCTTGTTATTTACCACTACACATCTCTTCAGTTATCTTAAGACCAAATTGCTAAACATTCACGAACAGAAAATCCAGCACATCCCAAATCCCCAATCTGCTTTTTGTCTGCTTGAACAGATGGCATGGATATATACTTGCAGCCAAGAGGAAGCTAGTTCCTTTGCCAATTGTTCACCACCTCCTCAGTCTTATGCCAGCTAGACCTGGCAGAAACTGCTGTTGCCCACACAGTAGTTTCTAAACAACAGAACAGAGAACACTCTAGACATATTGTAATTTCATCAAGGACATCATCAACTTCCATACTTTTTTTTGTGAAATAAGCCTACTTAAAGCAATTTCATTATTTTTATTTTATTTATTTATTAAATTTATATGCTGCCCATCTCCTCCAGAGGGTGACTCTGGGCGGCTAACAATTAAAATCCAAAACAGTAAAAATATAAATATCCATATTAAAATTAGCTAAAAAATAATTCTCTATTAAAAAAAACTATATACAATTCAAGATGATGGGGGAGCAGTATCAATTATTCCACCAGCCAATTCCAACAATGCGAGCCCCCATCAGGCCCCCAGGTCATCTGGCATAGCCAAGTTTTCACACTTTTCCAGAAAGCCATGAGACTGGGGGCAGCCTGCACCTCAGGTAGTAAGGTGTTCCACAGGGTGGAGACCAAAGCAGAAAAGGCCCTCTTCCTAGACCCCACCAGCCGAAATTCCTTGACCAGTGGAATCTGCAACATGCCCCTTCTGCCAGACCAAGTGGGGTGGGCTCACATAATGGGGGCAAGATGGCTCCTCAGATAACCTGAGGAGGTCCTGTGTCATGAAGGGCTTTAAAGGTAATAACCAACACCTTGAATTGGTCCCGGAAGCAAACCAGCAACCAATGCAGCTCACATAACAGAGGTGTTATATGTGCCCCCTTGAGGCGTTCAAAACTGTCTATGCTGCTGCATTTTACACCAGCTGTAGCTTCCAGATACTCTTCAAGGGTAGCCCCATGTAGAGTGCATTGCAGTAATCCAAACGGGAGGTGACTAGGGCATAAGTGGTCGTGCAGAGGGCCTCCTGATCCAGGAAGGGGCGTAACTGACGCACAACACAGAGTTGCACAAAGGCCCTCCTAGCCATGACTGCCAGCTGCTCTTCAAACAGGAGTCATGAGTCGAGGACCACCCCCAGATTATGCACCAGATCTGTCTAGGGTAGTGCAACCCCATCCAGAACCAAGGATGATAAGCTCCTAGATCTTGAGGCTCCCTGTACCCACAGCCACTCTGTCTTACCAGGGTTCAGTTAAAGCCTGTTGTCCCCAGTCCAGGCCCCTACAGCCTCCAGGCACTGCGAAAGGGTAGCCACAGCATCACTTAGGTCACCTGAGATGGAGATACATAGTTGAGTATCATCAGCATACTGATGATATCTCATCCCATGGTGCCAGATGATTTCACCCAATGGTTTCATGTAGATGTTAAATAGAAGCGGTGAGAGCACCAAACCCTGAGGCAGCCCACAAAGTAGGGGCTGTGGGTTGGACCTCTCACTCCCTATCAACACCGACTGGGATCAGCCTTGGAGGAAGGAGCTGAACCAGTCCAGTTGAATCACCATTGCTTCTTAAAAAGATTTTATGCAGTATGCTTCCCTGTAGATCTCACAGAGCTAGGACTAGTCAGTAGACTAAATGGACTAATAACCTAATTCAGACTAAGAGGATTTCATGGGCTAATAATTTCCCTCAACTCTGAATATTTAAGATTAAAGAACAGCCATGAAGAGCTTTATACTATCTAGTTTAATTTACTCTTTACCAATTTGCATTAGGGATCCTTCCCTTTTCTCACATTTTTATTTAGATTTGCAATTTGTGATGCTTCTCAGTGCTTGATGTTAGTAAAGAGATTGTTAAGATTTCAGAGTATTTGAAACAAAATGTCCTATGTGAAAGCAAAGTTAACATTTCTAAGATGGAATTTCAACAGCATTGATCCAAATTTCTGGGTTGGGGAACATATGGCGGTCTAGAAGTTGGTGGAGAAAATCTATCTTTGTGGTTGCTAAGAGTCGAAAATGACTTGATGACACATAATCAATCAAATATATTGCTGAACTGCAACTCTCAGTATCCCTCACCATTGGTTATGTAGGCTGGAGTTGTTGAAAGTTGCAGTTCAGCAACATCTGAAGACCACAGATCCTTTACTGCATCATAATTATACAGCACAGTTGTAACATACAGTTATATCAATACAACCCAAGTATCCCCACTGCAAGGTATAAGCTTTTTCCCAAAGCAGATTATCTACTGCACAGAACCTCACATTTCAGGACACACCTTCAGTGAGAGAGTTTTTTGCAAGACATCAAAGAGAAACTGGGCTTGAAGAATAGCAGATGTTTCAGCAGGATGTGATGAAAGTGCAATGAAGCCATGATTCTGGTTTCGTGGTAGTAGATACTGCTCAAAGATCTGATTGAGAATCTGAAGTGTGGAAGTGAATAAGGTCAGGGTGCTAGTACCATCTAGAATCAAGTCCCCTGAAGAAAAAAAAAAGATTAACATTAACAGATCAATGTATACTCACTGCATAGAATAACTGCATAAAGGAAAAGTTAATAATATAATGTAAAAGTGTCATATTTGCCACCCTTGATGTAAGGGATGAAGCTGGCAAGGGAGGAACTAGTTGTTAGTTAACTAGTTGTTAGGCTAGACAGAAACATTATATACATACTAAGCAGATGCCTCCCAACCATAAGGCTGGAAAGAGAGCCACACTTTATCATTGTATTGAAAAGGCAAGAAGGAAAGGCCTAACATTTAAACCCTGGACATACAGAGTGAAAGAGAAAGACTGCACTTGACTTCTGTGTGTGTGTCTTCTACCTTATATGCAATAAAGCCATGTTTTATCTGTGGACTTTTACTTTAAACAAATTTCTGAATACTGGGTTGTGTCTGGAGAGTCAAGATCTACTGCTATACTTGGCATAAAGTCTCACATTTAAAAGCATAGGGTGCAAACTACAGATTTCAACTGATGTTATCTAGAAACAAAGATCTTATTCTACACACTCCACAGAGTGATATACAAAGCATATTCCACTCTCCTGAACTACAACCCCCTTATATACTTAAAGTATTACATTCACTACAATGATTGGGGGAACTGTCCCAGATTGCATAGCTGGATAACTGGAAAAACTGCAATTAAATTTCCTATATATGAGAAGCACCATCAACAGAAATGCTTTGCAGAGATGAAACAACATTTATTCTTTGGGAAATGGCACTTAGGGAAGTCTGGAGCCTATACTTCAGAACCTTTCAGAAAACATAAAGGTGTAAGTACAGTTATACTAAGTTAAATGAAACACTGTTTATTGATCTAACCCAATTTTCTGGGTTCATACCAATCAGAGAACTATAAGCTAACCACAAAAAGCAGTTGGGCAATTGGGTTTCATTGTGCTGCCCAAACACAGCTAACAGAATTTGCCTCAGTGAAGAATGAACAGAGTGAAAAGCATATCCCTGGAGAAAGTTATTCAAAAGAATACATGGGCAAAACCTGGTTCTAATATATCTCCATTTAACCTAGTACATGCATCATAGTTTGGATTAGCTTGGATATCTATTACAAGTACACACTGTGAAAAAAACACTCATTGTGTTTTGCTCAGTAACACTAACCATGAAAGTTCAATTAATTGTTTTCTCCAATCTAAAACTCTGCTGCACCTGAACCTACAGCTTCAATATGCAACCATTATTATTAATTTAAGCAGTAATTGCATAGGTACATCCCATGACAAAAGAGCAAGGCAAACCCAAGGTTGTCCATATTTATTTCCATCCTGAGTAGAGCTAAGACCATTTTCCAAATGTTTCAAAATAGAGTTCTCCACACCACTAGAACCTCACCAGAATCCCGTAGTAACTGTGCTAGGCTCTGAAGCATTACTTTCTTGCGCACAGAGGGTGCCATCTGCAAAGACAGAGGGGAAAAAAAAGAAATAATGATAATTTCTTGGGAACCAAAAAATCAAGCCATATTTAGATATCTCAACACATGCTAATTCAAAAGAACTGTAGTTAACCAACATGCTCATGAAAGCAGAGATTGGCGAACCACAATCCCTGCCTGAGAAATAGTCAAAGCCCAGTGAAAAAGTGATTGAAATAAACCTCTCTGTGCAAAGACTTAGAACCGCCAAGCACAATCTGGAGCTAAACTGATTCAGGCTTCAAGGCCAAGTCAGGCACTTCCTAAACCAAATGTTGCAATACTCACATGGAGGCGCGTGACAGGGACCACAATTATCCAACCCGGCACCTCCCTCTTATTTAAGCAAGGGGCAGCAGCCCTTCTTCCACTTTAACCCCTCCAACGAACCCTCAGCGACAGAAGCCCAGAGGAAATTTTTTACCTACCCTAAGGAGGCCGCAGAGTACTGTACAGAAATTACCAGGTTTCCTTGCGTTCTGTGACAGGAAAGGGAAGCCTGGCGCAGGAAAGACAAAGCAACAAGCACATGATACAGGCAGCGCCAGCCGGCCTGGAGGTAACCATGGTAACGCTCGCGCAGCCC